ATGCGCTGTCACCCGTGAGGACTACGATGGAATGCCTCATTTCCAGTAAAAAGGGTCTCCGGTTCTCTACACTCACCATACGAAACACAGCAGCATTAAGCTACTATTTGACGTTGGCATTCTGTGAGAGCGTGGTTCTTCCCCGGTCGAGCCGACCCATTTGTGCTACAACTATACTAGTGAAATAACTGCAGCATGGCTCTACCGCGTGAAAATGTGTAGATGTGTAAATTACATGTGCAGTACTTGCGCAAATGCATTAAATCCGCTATATACGATTATAAATCGTATTTGACAATTATAACAGTATTGATAATGAGTTGATTTTAAGTGACTTAAGAAATACTATTGATTATTTAATATCTTTGTTTTATCCTAAAACCGTACTAACCTTTCTATTCCGTTTTTTTGATTGCAGTTCGGATTGATAGATAGATTTCACTCATATCCAAAAGGCAATTTATACTTTTTTGTCGGGGATAAAAATGCGAGAGAAGCAGTGTTCCGCAATATTATAATCCGCTCGTCCATCTGTCGCGTGTGACACGGGTTAAGCCCAACCAGCTGATAGGCGTTTTATGTGTAACATACTTTTGTTTATTAGCTAGGATACGTTCGCGAATACGCGCTGAATTTTGAAACTTATTAATGTTATTTTGTTTTGGTTTGTTTAATTTTAAATTTAATTATGATAAATTTATAAGTATAAAATAAAAGTACATTCATTAATCAAAATCTTTTTTATAACTTAGTGATGCAACAACCCCAGAGAGTAATTTAATATCGTATTGGGGTGTAACGCTCTTACGCTGGTACTTAACATTTATTGAGATCTTAAAATTGAACCAGGTGATGTCTAGAAGCGCCTTCCTTACAACAACTAAGAAAAAAAAAACTGAAGTTGCCAAGCCACCCGCCAAGTGTGGCAGCTATGGTAAATATCCCCCCTATGAGCCTATCATTAGGGGAGAACTTTGTTCAGTATTGGAACTATTTTATAGGCTATAACAGATAACTGATAAATATAAAAGAAATATTTGGGGTCACGGTGTAATATAAGAAAGTAAATATCATTTCTTGAGCACCTTCAAAGCCCGTCGTCGGTTTGGTAATTAATTCTCATATAATAAAAGCCCCAATATTACCATCTTATTTAAATTACATTGTTCACATACGTGGCTTATCCAAACCGATATCGTTAGAGCCTATTAAAGTCCATTGCTAAATATAAACCTACTCCATAGATTGCCTCATAGGGAGCATATTTGCTATAGTTGCCATGTGTTGGCAACCGAAGTTTTTTATTTTTGTCGTCATTTCGTAGACACTTCTGCCCATCTTCTCTTTGTTTCCCTCTGTCGCCTCTTACGACACTAAGGGGAAGATAAGGGGTAGTAAATATTCTTACACCGCCACTTCATGGTGGTACAGCCGCGCTGCAGCTATATCATGATTTTAACACTAATGCGTCAATTCGACTAGAAAAAAGCACTCTCGTGCAAGCTACTACCATAAAAATTAGCTTAAAGTTGCTGCGTTTCGTATGGTAACCATAGGACGAGTAGAGAACCGGAGATCCTTTTAACTGGAAGTGAGGCATTCCATCCCAAAGGGGGAAATCGCAGAGTCTACCACGCAGGTAGAAAAAGAGGTGGATCTGAGAGGCCGCGTAAGGAAGGCGCGTCTTGTGAGCCTAGTGTGCTTTACCCGAGAAGAAGAAGTCCTTTTCCCAGGAGGGGCTGACATGACAGGAATGACACTGATGAAGCCGTGGACATGTGCGACACCGTTCCCGTGATCCTACCGATATAGGGCAAAGGTGCAACACCATGGAGTTTTAGTCAGTGTGAATCCGACATAACCCGTTCGTGTCCCCAAAAGGCGGCAGTTTTCCGTGTATAAAACAACGATAGTCTGCGATATATATACATAGATATAGATATATAAGCTCATTAAAAAAACTAAAAAGAAACAAAAATAAATTATCCTTACCAACAAAAGATTAGTGAGATTGCTCGAAACGATGTTAGCTTTAAGGGCCATGAAGCGAAGTGCAAATTTGTACGATGTTAAAACCTATTTACCTTAAGTACCCGTGGCCTAACAACACATAATCATTGTGTCTAGAGTTCATCGCAAGTACTGAGTTGCTTTTATCTCGGTTGCTCATAGTTATTACAGCCGCCGTCGTCGACTTGACGAGGGTAAATCCCCTTTCTTCATATTCACCTGCACGTTCGGAACGCCCGTCAGTTTTTATGTCTGTCTGCACAAATATATAAAGCGAGGCATGTCGTATACGGACTCCATGGTACTGTGGGTGTGACAAAAATTTTTAAATGTCAAAGTAGAATTAATTTATAGATTATTCAATCCTAACATATTTTTCTTTTTAAATTGAAATCACAGGCAAATATACAGTTACATTTTACTCGGTAAAACCATTGCTACAGCTATATTATGGTTGTAGCACGAATGAAGCTGCTCAACTGAGGAAGGGCCACGCTCTCATAGAACGTATGGTCTCGTATGGTGAGGTAAAGTTCTGAGACCCTTTTTCCTGGTAACGAGGCATTGCATCTTAGTCCTTAGGAGTGACAACGTATCTGAATTTTGATTCCTAATCGAGGATAAATATGTCTATAGGCCACAGCATCCACATTTACTCAGCTGGACCGTGTGCTCGTTAGTAACGTGTAATCAACTTTAAATAAAAAAGATGTTAATAGATTTGTAGTGAGATTAATATACTTGTTAGTGCAGGGGCTACAATAGCCCATCAGGACACCATCAGATGTACAGTTACTTCGTTTATCTGAGATTCAATATATTGGCTCGCTTCACTTCTATAAATAGCTTTCATAAAAGGTATCATGCTATAGTTACCATGGTCCCCATAAGCAGATAAAACGCACAGGCATTTGAAGTAATTTAATAGAATAAGAATTACAAACGAGCACACAGTTTACCTGGTGACCTGGTGGTACCAGTTTACATTGACCACAGTGGCCCATAAACACCTAGAATTCCTCGATGAAGAGTTGAAATGCAGATGCGTCATCACCCCTGAAAACTTTGATGAATGTCTCGTTTCCAGTAAAAAGGGTTTTCGGTTTCGTTTGAAACATAGCAGCATTTAGCTGTTATTTTACGCGTGAGAGCGTGGTCCTCCACAGGTTAAAACGACTATAATATAGCTGCAGCGTCGCTCTACCATATTTTAAATGGAGAATATCCAATAAACGGGCTTAACATACATTTATTTATGACCAATTCAGTACAATTGATTTGGAAATAGACATAAAATTCTCGCGAGGTAATTGTTTCCGCTCCCATGTTTACTCAGCTGCAACAATCTCGTAGCTCCCATCTTGTATGTCAATCGCGCAAACAAATCTAAGAACCACAGAGATAATATTCATGTAAGAGTTTATGTTAGTAAAGTACGAAATAGTTAAGGATGTGAAATGTTAACGAATTAAAAACTATGATTCTGAATCATAGTTTTTAAATACACAAATTCTGCTAGGATTTCCTGAAATTGAGACATTTTTTATTTACCGTATAGTGGCGGTGAAAGAATATCCACTACACCACGTCGTCCCGTAGATGTCATGAAAATCAACAGAGGGAAATTAAAATATGTGATGGACGGCAGCATGTTCCTGACAATAAATCAAAAAAAAAAACTCCGGTTGCCAAAACGATTGCAAAGCGCGGCAACTATAGCTAAATAATGCTTATGAGTGGTTGATTGGATTTTTTTAAAAGAATGAGTGTGAAATACCAGAAATTGGAGAATGTTAACCTACCATCGGGCGGGTAATATTCTTTCTTTTCAATGTAGTGCTCTAATTTGCTAAATTTAAAATAATTATCCAACCTTTAAAGTCATAAAAGTTAGTGTGTATAACAATTTAGAACATTGTGTAGAATACTTGAACATTAGTTAAGCGAAATCAAAATAAATAACATTAAAATTAAAAGTGTTAAAATAAAACTATCATCGATATCGATCTACCCCGTTATATTTACTAAGTGTTAACTTTACTCTGTTCGTGTTACATATTCATTTTTTAACAATCATTGTGTTTACTTGTTGATTTGCATTAATTACTGTTACATTGAACTTTTAAAGTTTAATTCTAGATTATTTATAATAGTTACAAAAATTGACAATAATTGCGTGTTGTGTTAACAACAAAACTGGCCAGTAGTGGTGATCAATAGTTTTGTGTTTATTGCCCTCCTTCGGCTGCTTGTAGTAAATAAGACGCTGCAACGTACATAAATAAATAAATGCGATATAAATAAGTCTATCTCAATCAACTCACCATGGTCAAGTGTGGAGCTTGTGGTCGCTACCTGCCGGCGACAGATGGTTATTATATGCGGCAAATGTGATGTAGCCTATCATCGAGGCTGTCTGAACCTCTCTGAGAAGACGAAGATATCAGCTTAATGGATGTGCATTGCTTGTAAAAATAAGGTTCCTCGCATTGGCGAGCATTCCAGCATACTGGTTAAGTGCCAAGAAGTTGGGGAATGTAGTCATCTCCATAAAGATATCGATATAGGTTTAAAAATTCGTCTTTTTTGAAGTCAGGGACAATATAACTATGCTAAAGGATACATTTCTTGAGTGTAATAAAAACCTGGAGGAAATGCATTGAAGAGTCACCTAGTTGCAAAAACGTATGAAGAACGTCTGATTAAGTGCGACACTAAAATACTGGAGGACACGATTAGTAAACTTAGGGTCCAACTTAATGAGAGGGATCAGGACCTCCTAGCCTATGACCTGGAGATATCCGGGTTACCGGAGCAAGAAGGTGAAAATCCTATCAATACCGTGGTGCTATGCGCTAAAAAGATGGGTCTCGATATTGATCACCGTGAGATATTTCATGTGGAGCGTGCTGGTATTTTGCGTACATCTTATTATAATAATAATTGTTCAAAAACTTATGTCTACTGGACCCCGCGAGATTGTGGTGCAGATGAGTCGGCGTAAGGTTCGTGACGAGTTCCTACGTTGCGTTGTGCGCGGGTGCGACGCAACACAACGAGTGATACACTGGGGTTGCCCGGAGATCCATGTAGGATTTACATTAATGAGCGGCTCACTCCCGTCAATAGGAAATTGTTTGGAAAGATACGTGAAGCAGCAAAAATGGCAAATTAGCGCTACACATGGACAAAGAGTGGTCAAATATTCGCAAGGTAGGAAGACGGAAAGCCCGTAACACGATCTGATACAGACCTAAGTCGTGTTTTCTGCTAACTCTGAGTTGGTTGTTTATAATATAATGTTAATATGCTGCTACCTTTGTTTTTGTTATTTTAGTAATAACGAGTGTTTGATTGGTTTTGGTAAGATGATAATTTTTCCTTTAAATATGTTAATATTATGGCTAACATATTTGTATCATGTTATGACATTAAGGACACAGTATGTTATGCCACATTTAACTTAATTTTGTTGTTTAATAATCTATATAGCTTTTTTTTTTTTTATAGGATAGGGTGACAATCGAGTTTGGTAGTGGTCTTGCTTCAATAGGGTATATAGAGCAGCATTAAGCTACTATTTCACGCTGGTATTCAAAAGCTTTTACTGACAATATTCTTTATACACACCTTATTTTGTAGTTATAGGTCAATACACTTTGGCTTTTTTGCTGATTTTAAGTTAAAGGTTTATATACGATTTTATACAATTACCTTTGTAGTTTTAGTTATAGTGAATGTTTGGTTTGTTCAAGAAATATATATTTTTTAAAATTGTTAATATTATGGATAACATACTTGTATTATAATATTACAGACTCGGTATGTTATACCTCCATTAACTTAAATTTATTGTTTAATAACCTATATAACTTCTTATCAACCATATTCTTTAAAGACGTCTTATCTTGCAGTAATAGGTTTATACACTTCAGAATTTTTGCTAATTTTAAGTTAAAGGTTTATTATACTTTAGAATATTGGAATTATATACTATCTTTGTGGTCTTAATAATGGTGAGTATTTGATTAGTTTGGTAAAAATATTACTCCTTCTTATAAAAATTTTTAATATGGAGAACAAACTCATACTATAAGATTATATACTTTTTGTGTTACACGCAAATAGCCTCTTATGTGCAATTTTTAAGTCCTTGTATTCTTTTTTAATAATAGATCAATAGAATTTATTTGTTTAAAAAGTGCTTTCGTGTAGTCTAGTGTGCGCTTGTGTATTTCATAGGATAAATAATAGTGGCTATGTCAATTTTCTGTCTATTTGCGGGTTAATAGCGGCGAGTGTACTGTATTTGATATGTTTTTTTTATTAAATCTATTTTCATATAGTGTTGTATTAATGTATTTTTATGTAATTATTTTTATTGTTAGTTACAATAAGCATTCACTTTATTTTATTGTTCAAATAGAAAGAACTTCGATATATGATGCTTACAAAAATGTATAAGATTGAATATTATATCATGTAACATAAATATATATAATATATATCATATGTATATGTATGCATATATATAATATGTATATAACAATTTATCATAGCAATTTATGTTCACAGACTACTAAGAGGATACTATCTATGTTATAGTCAAACGTCAGTATCATACAATTATTTTTATTAAGACATTGGCCTGGATTCTTGGTTTTTAAGCCATGTCTTCATTTCATTTGTATATAATTTTCGTATCTTAACCAGTAGATTGTATTCAATGGTAGCGTTTTATTCTCAGTTTAATTTTTTCATAATTATTAATATATTTTAAATTAAATGTACAATATACTCTTGTGTCTTGTATAAATGTAAAATAGTAAACGATCACGGCCTTACTTATAATTGTGTTTATCGCTCACTTAAGTTAGTCATTAACATTATAATATATGTCTTTCTATTGTCCTTTGTTGTATAGAAGATGAGCACAACATTAATTATCTTTTAATTTGACCAAGTGAAATATGAGTAAGACATCATTGCTATTTCATTGGACTGTTTAAAACATTTGTGCTAATCTTCTTTTTATATGTAAACTTGATTAATAATTTTTAAGGCAGACCGGCAGGTAAAACAAATAGTGATTAATTAACTTTTTATATTTCATAATAGTTTCATTATTTTAATATTTATATTCATAAATATAGTATTTAGTATATATAAAATTTATTATATATATAGGTATACATATATATTATACAACATTATTTATTATTACATATACCCTATATATTTATTTTTTGCTATTATTAATAATAATAGATTAAATGTCATCGGATGAAGACTCATTTTATTCTGCATGTTCTTCTTTTAACGTTACCTCACCCGCAGACGATTCTTTTATCGATAACGTGGGTAATTATTTGCACACGAAATTTGCCTCTACAAATTGTTTAAATGTATGCCATATAAATGCGCAAAGCATCCCTGCCCATTACTCAGATCTACTTGACATATTTTTTCTCACCATACATCCATGCTCTACTTATCTCAGAGTCCTGGCTAAAACCCTCCCTATCCTCCACGTTGTACAGTCTTCCTGGATTTGTACTTATACGTTCTGATCGCACTGGCAAAGGTGGAGGTAGCGTAGCCATTTACTTACGATCGAAATATGCATATGATGTCATTGCAATATCACCATCAGAATATAGAGGATCTGCTGAGTACCTATTTCTAGAAGTAAAAATTAATGGTTTGAGGGTCGTGCTCGGAGTTGTTTACTGCCCTCCTTCAACTGATTATTTTTCCCATATTGAATCGGTAATCGACTCCATCAGCACTGATAACAAACATATTATAATAATGGGTGATTTCAATCAAATCAAATCAAATCAAATCAAATCAAACATTTATTAATTCATAAGCATGGGTATTACAGGATGTCACATATAAAATTATTATAAGATACAGCCATGTTTCACCTTAGAGGTATATGAACAAAATTGAAGTATATTTTTACATTTTGTCATCAAAAAATATTCTTATGTCATAGTACACTTTTTCAACAAGGAAGCCATTGAGCGCAGTTTTAAATCTTTTGATATCATTAATTAATCGTATATTTAACGGGATTTTATTATAGATTTTTTGGTGCCATGCAATTTACACACATTCTTCGAAGAAGTGGTTTGCATTTGTGATTAACTTTCAATGTTCCTTCACGACGACTTCCGGCAGTATTCATTTCAAAATAAATTGGGTTATTTCGAACAAAGTTTGCAACCTCATATATATACATACACGGTAGAGTCAGAATTTTATATTTGCGAAAGTACGGTTCACATGAATCATCCTGATTTAGACCGAACATCGATCTAACACACTTTTTTTGCGCTTTGAGGACACTTTGTTTTTCAGTTGTGTTGGCCCAAAATATTATTCCATACCTTAAGTTTGATGCAACATATCCGTGATAGGCTGTTAGAAGAGTTTTAACACTGGAAACCTTCCTTAGTTTATAAAGGGCATAAGAGAATTGGTTTAGTTTTTTAATTAGATTATTAATATGAGGTTTCCATGTCAGCTTATTATCTATAGTCAAACCCAAAAATTTTGTAGTGTCTACCTCTTTAATTGAATTCCCAGAGTAGTTAATGTCAAAATTTAAAGGATAATTATTTCTTTGTTTAAAGTTTATTACATGTGTTTTTGTCAAATTAATTGTTAGGTTATTTAATGTCAGCCATTTGAATAAAGATGTCAATGTATTATTAATGTCAATATTTATATTATTCTCATTATCATAAGTAAATAAAACAGTACTATCGTCAGCAAAAATAGTCATATGATGGTTGATTACATTAGGAAAATCATTTATATAGATAATAAAAAGGAGAGGGCCCAGTACACTTCCCTGTGGTACTCCATAGTTTACTTGACGGTCTTTCGATCTGTATATTTTATTTTCACCGGTCTTAGAGTCAATTTTGGTTATATGTGTAATTTGTCTTCTATTACTTAAGTAACATTCGATTAGCTTAAGGGCGTTGCCTCTTATACCATACCTTTCTAGTTTGTTAAGTAATGTTTTATGATTAATGTTGTCAAATGCTTTGGTCATATCCATAAATAGTGCTAGTGTAGGCTTTCGGTTGTTAACGTTTTTTACGACTCTTTCCAAAAACTCGTATATAGCCATACTAATGGATTTATCTTTTCGAAAGCCGTATTGATGCTTCGAAAATAGATTATTGGTTTCAAAGTAATCGTTTATTTTTTTATATATAATGTGTTCTATTAACTTTGAAAACATTGAAATTAGTGAAATAGGACGATAGTTTTTTAACAGCTTGTTGTCATCCTTTTTGAATATTGGGATAGTAATTGCCAATTTCAATATATCTGGAAATATTCCCTGTTCTAAACATAAATTTATAATGTAGCACAAGATGTGAGCTATTATATTCCCTACTGTTTTAATAATCTTAGTGGAAACATTGTCAAAACCTACACTATTAGTATTTTTTAATAAATTAATAGATTTAACAACATCTAAGGGTATTATTGGGGTCAAAAAAATTGAGTTACGTTGACTATGTGGAATAGAAGTAGGTTCGGGCTTGTCCTTATCGACTGTTTCCAATGAGTTTGTAAAAAAGTCGTTAAAGGCGTTCGCAATTTCTGTCGGTTCAGTTACCTCTTTATCGTTACTTAATATACTGTTAATCTGTTCCTTAGGAAGGCTTCTATTATACTTATTAATTATCTTCCACGTTGCTTGGGATTTATTTTTTGACTGAGCTATATAATAGTCATTCTGTGCCTTTTGAGTAAGATTAATTATTCTCTTGTACCTTCTACTATAGTTAGTAAATATTAATTTATTTGTTGGTGACGGAGATAGTCGATATTTCCACAGGAGCTTACAACGTTTTTTACTACATAATTTAATGCCCTTTGAAATCCATTTCGGTTTGTTCAAAGTAGAGATTTTTATTTTGATTTCTGGAAAACATAAGTTGTAAAAAAGTGTGAAAAGGTCATGAAATGAGTTGAAAGCATTATTTGGACAACTTGTCTCATATGCTTCACTGAAACTTAGACTTTTGATGCAGTTCATAAATTTCCTTATATTATCGAGAGAAAAATCTCGGTGGTAAGTATACCAGTATTTTAGCCGACATGTTTTTTTGATAGGTATCTTAAGGGTTTGAGCAGAGTGATCGGAAATTGTCAATTCTATGACTTCTCCTTTTGCACTACGAATATTATGTAACATATTATCTAA